TAGCTGAACGCTGGAACCCAGGTTCGTACGAAACTTAAAAGGGTATAAAAATGGTTGCAATTCTCTATACCCATTTAAGTTTCGTAATAAACCATTTTTTTTAGAGAGTAGAGAGGGTGTTTACAAATTTATTTGAATGTCGATAACATCGAGCTTTGAGCTAGGTCAAAAGCTCGATGTTATCGACATTCAAATAAAGGAACGTAAAAATTCAACAAACAATTTATCTTAACGTTAATGAATTCTTATGTAGCGATCTTTATAGAATAGAAAAGCTTTTGATATGAGACTATCTATCAAAAATAAAGTGTTTCTTAAAGTAATTGACACACTGATTTCACAATGTTTTATCCGGTTTCTCTTTGGGAACATAATGCAACCAAGGTGAATCATTCATCTTAGACTCGCTTCAAGATTGACCTTAAAATGAGTACACAGCAATTTTATTTGTAAACACCCTCTCTACTCTCTAAAAAAAATGGTTTATTACGAAACTTAAAAGGGTATAGAGAATTGCAACCATTTTTATACCCTTTTAAGTTTCGTACGAACCTGGGTTCCAGCGTTCAGCTACGAAACCTGTTAACGTAGTTTCTATAACAAGTATACTTATCATAGAAACTATGTTCTAACTAAATAACTATGTTTTTTGAACTTTGAGAAAGATTTCGATTATTTCTAAAACAACTTCAATCTAAGACTTCTTCCGTGATTTTAGCCTTTTCTTAAAAATTTAATAAAATAAAACTTCAATTTTGAAGCTCATTTTTTATGTCATTGGATAGAGCAGATTGAGATGTATACGTGCGAAAGCTTTCATCATTATTGGACAATATTTTGTAGCGAAATTTGAAAATCACTTGGAAAATGGTGTTTTCGCGCAAAAAGTAAGTTTTTTGAGGTCTTATACGTGTTGTTCAAAGTCTTGTCGATGAAGCATTTTTACACAATTCAAATTTAATAATAAAAGATACAATGATAACAATGGTTGTTTTTAAAGAGCGTAGCAACAGAAATAAAACAAAATTATACCTGACAATATGGTGAAAGAAATAGATGAATTTATCTGTCAAATATTTACAGCTTGCGAGATTAAAACAAGGTACGTCATATAAAACATATCTAAGAACTATGTTCATTTATAAAATGAAAAAACACTAATTTAAATAAAACACTGTTACAGTATAGTTCCTTTTCGATTGCACACTGTACAAATAGTAAATATGATCTAACTATGTCTTTACTTCAAAAAAAAATATATCGTAGTAAGCGTTATTCTAACGGAATTCTGCTTTTAACTGCCAATGTCCAATTCCCGCCGGTGTACGATGTAATTCGGCTATATTTTTTAATAAAAATTTAAATTTGGGTACCAATTCTGGTCGTTGATTGAAACGTGTTTGAAAATGTTCAATGATCTCATTGGTTGTTGCTTTACCATGAATTGTTGTACCATACGTCAAAAAGTCTTTTAATTCTCGAATTAATTGTAATCCTTCTTTCGACGACAAATCCATTTGATTTTCTTCTTCATTATCATTATCATTTATATTATTTTGTGGCCGTTGCCGTCTATTTCCATCACTGTTGATATTAGTATCATTCGTTGACGATACTGACGTCTGTACAACAAAATTATTCTGTCGCTTTCTTTCTCGTATTTGTTTTAATAGGTCAGTCGATGACAGTGCATCATCTGTTGATGCTTTGTTTGCAAAAGCCGACGTCATAGATGCCGTGGAAGACGCTGATGAATCTTCATTTTCATTCGTTACAACTTGAGCTGTGCTTGACACTGACACTTTGTTAGTACGTGTTCCGAAACGGCGAATACTATAAGAAAAAAATCTCGTCAAGAAAGTATAAACAGGAAACGTTTGTGTATTTGAAAACTTCGATGCAATAACGTATACGTCCACTTGAATGTTCTCTCAGTTAAATCGAATTTGTTTTCTTCATGCACTTCAAGTTCTCTTACTTCTGAACATTGCCCCAATTCGGAATTCCACTCTCGGCTGAATAGCAATCTTGACTTGATCGTTTCAATGCTCTGACAGCTTCTTCCGCATAGCGTTGTGCCTACAAAAGACAACGAAAATTGTATATTAGTTTGATCTGTCTATCGATCAACTTTGGATAGAATACTTCTGCTTCAACAAAAACATAGTCGTTAACACAATTATCAACAATAGTGTCATGTTGTAATGCAGAATGAACACCTGTGCAGAAAGAAAATGTAAGTAGATAATTTAAGCATTAATAAAATGTCTGATATTCATGACACGTACCAGATTTTTTGAATAATTTACTCAATACATAATCATCTTTATCTTTATCAATTTCATTTTCATTACTCCTTCTCTCATCAATATTGTTTTTATTCTCTCGACGATCAATGTCAATTTTTGTCAAATGCGGTACACGTTGCCCTTCAAATTCTAAAATAAAATCTTTATGCTGGAGAAGACACGGTTAACACATGATGATCATACGCACTAAGATTTTTTCCTCGTTTTCGATTTTCATATTTTTCTTTCAAATTAATTTCTGAATCAGTGCCGGCTAATAAAATGGACGTTTCTGTGCGAACGGCTTTTGGCTGTATTTTCTTACTATCGCCATCCTCATCATCATCTTCATCATCATCCAAACGAAACAATTCCTAAATAATTATAAAACTGTCGGTTAAGCAGATCATTCAAGTAGTACTTTTACGTACATGTAAATCATTTGATTTGAAAAAACGACGTTGTTTAGGATCTTGCAAAATTCGATTTGTTAAAAATTGTTTAAAAATTTGTCTAAAAACAATAAAAAAAACCTGGTCCATACCATAGTACTGACTAATTATTAATCAATAACAATATGAGAGTAAGTTCGTCTCAATACGGAACTCCATCCGCTTTTGCTCTTAAGATGCCACACACAATATCTTCTGTGCGCTTATATGAGATACAATGACAGAAAATTGTGGAGATAAAAGAATGCCGTATATCATCTTTTCTGGCCGGTAAACTTAATTCTTGACTCTTCCGTCAGTTTTTTCTATAGACTTCATGCGGAGAAATACCAAAATGCATGACTAATTGCACTCTTAAAAGATATATGATTATGTTACCGATGATAAATTTTTTCTTCTATTGTGCCTGATGTCAATAAACGATAGATGGTCACATTCTTTGTTTGTCCAATTCGCCAAGCTCGCTCTCTAGTGTCGCAATAAAAATATGGCTCAGTTATATCATTTCGTTGTGCGAATGGTACTCTTACCTCGCTTGCATATCAGTACTTGGATTCCAATCGGGATCAAAAATTACTACACGGTTAGCACCTGTCAAATTAATACCCAAACCTGAGAACAAAAGATAGTTATATTATTAATATTGAATACTATTGAACATGACTGTTTTTACCTCCAACTCTAGTTGTTAATAAAAATATGAAAAGAGATGGATCCTATATAGAAGAATAGAACATAAAATGAGCTCGATATTGCTTACAATTCGAACATACTGTATTAAATTTTGTGACAAGTCCTTGTCTCGACGCAATTGTTGTTGTGCCATCCATTCTTAAATACGTATAGTGATTGGCCGTAATAAAATCTTCCAAAATATTCAGCATCTTAAATATGTCATATTATATCATGAATTTTTAAGCTTCTTTAATACATACTCTTCTCTTACCTGTTTACTTTGTGTGAACAGTAAACATCGTTGTTGTTGTTTAAACCATATTTTTAACAATGTCTCTAATACAATCATTTTTCCCGAACGTCGATGATAACCATATTTTGCCACTTCTTCTGCCTTTTCTCCATCACGTGGCAAAAATTCACTCCAATTCGAGCATAAGTCTGGATGATTACATATTTTACGTAAATTAATCAAACCAACAAATACCTAGCAAATAAATAATTGTATAGACATTAAAGTGATACGTTAAATAACGGAACACTATACCTGAGTACTTCCTTCCAAAATCTTTTTACATTCTTTAGAATCGATATATTGTTTATAAACTGACCGTTGATCTTTTGTTAAACGACAAAATAACACCTAAAAATTAAAAGACGTTATAAGGTAGAATAACTAAGATATAAAGAAATGTCTTAAAAGTCAAAATCTGACTACAAACCTGTTCGTTTTTTACTGGCAACTTTAAAACAACATTTTGTTCGGCTTTTATTCTTCTAATTAAATATTTTTTGATTGTATCACGTAATACACATGCACATTTATACGCAGTTTGTACTTCAATTGGATTAGCATTAGCATAACCGCCGCGCGTGATGGGTATTGAAAAATGTTCCATAAATGTTGGTAATGTACCTAGAAAGAAAGGACATCATTTATAACAACACAGAAAGACACAAATTTCAATGATAACATACCTAATTTTCCAGGAAAGACAAAATCGAATAAAGACCATAGTTCACGTAAATTATTTTGCATTGGCGAACCAGATAAAATGAGACGATGTGGTGTACGAAACTATAGTTAAATATAAAATGTAGTTTTAATAACATGGAAAACAGTTTAAACATACCGATTTACAAGCAGTTGTTATTTGCGCATCTGGATTACGAATTTTATGACCTTCGTCCAAAATAAGATACTGCCATTGATATGAAACTAATTGATCATAATGTATTAGAACGCTAGAATAAGACGTAATTAAAATTCCAGCTGCTGTTGTTCCCATACGTGCAATTAATCGATGCTAAGTAGTAAGAATGAATTTTGATCAGTTAAGGTTAAGTCAGATATTTCCTTTTTCCAAACTTACGCCATTCTTTCCTTTAAAAGATCCAGATTCATGTAGCACGGCTACTCGAAATTCTGGCCACCACTGATGAAATTCAGATACCCATTGATGTAATAGGGTTGATGGCGTTATAATTAAAACAGGACCAAGGCCACGATATCTAGAAGAGAACAAAAACTTATTTCATTAAAGATAAAAGAGAAAAATTACTATCAATAAACCTTCCGTTTTCTTCTTTAACTTTACTATAATGAAATGCAGCAAGATACGTAATTATTTGAATTGTCTGAAAATAATCACGAAAATAAACTCTCCGCTAACAATTTATAATTTTAGCAAAACTATACTTTGCCCAAACCTAAAAGTAAACACACAGTCGTTACATATGATAGAATGTTTGTCACTTATTTGTATAAAAATTTAACCTTACCCATCTCGTCAGCAACGATACCACCACACTTTTGTTGATGAAGATCCCATAACCATTTAACACCAGCACGTTGATAACTAAGACAAGAAAAGAAAGCCTTTAATTGATAATTCAGTTAGTTAAGTTGAACTCACTTGAACAATCGATTCCATAAACTAAGAGGCATCCAAAAACCACGACTAATCTCAACGTCATCATTATCAACATTATCCATGTGGGTTATCGGTTGTTTATCAACATAATGCTGTCTAAATGCACTTGCCAAAATGAGGACGAATTCATTACAATGAAGTGAGTACAAACCTCAATCGGCTATAATATTGATCATTGTCACCATCATCCAGTGCCCTCGATACTTTTTGTTTTTTTCGTTTCGCAGTATATACATCATCATCGTCATCAGAAAAATCATTGTTTATTCTATTCTTCTTTTTGTTTTCTTCTTCCTCGTCACTTTCAAAATAATCTTCATCTTCATTATACTCCATTTCATCCTCGTCTGTTGATGAGGCAGCTTTTCTTGATCGTTTTTTAGGCGCAGAGTTCTTCATCTCTTTTTGTTTTTTGTTCTTCAGTACTACATCACGATATAAAACTGGTCCGTCCAAACTTAACGGTGCTGAGGCCGGAGCAGTAGTGATAGTCGATGCTGTTTTCGATAGATTTTTCAGTTGCTGTTGTTTGTCGTTCTTTTTTTTGCGTCCGTCATACTCTTCATCAAGACCCATCATATAGGTATCAAATTCGGTCAGCCGTTCTTTATTTGAAGATGATGCTGCCTCAGTTGCTGTTCCATTTTCATCATAATTTTGTATTGTTGGCATAAGTGTATCCATGAGTGTAGATGATGCTAAAAGCAAACTCGGAATTAGAAACTCAGATTTCAGATAAGAGTTATTTCTTAAATTACAGTTACTATGGATAGAAGAAACTTGATTTTGCTGTTCTTCATCTTGCACAGTTTGTCTTAATTCTTGTTTCAACAAATTAATTTTTGACAAAGTTTTTCCTAGTGTTTGCCTCTAGAGAGAAAAAAACGATGTTTGTAAAAGCATAAAATATAATCATCATGAACTCATACCAACTCTTTGATTGATTTTTCAATGTTCGCTTTTCGTACATCTATTCCGGCTGACAAATAGGTTGCCTGATCAATTGTTTTTAATATTTGTGTTTTTGATGTAATATTTGCTTTCAAATCCCTTTTATAAAGATATATCAGAAACAGTTAATCATCGTCTAAAATGAAATGTCTTTATAGTCTCCTACTTGATGGTCACTGCAGTTGATTGAATTTGCTTTTCCAAATCAATTTTTCGTTTTTGGCGCTCTTGATTCGCTAGTGCATTATCGACCTGATCAATAATTCCTAGCAATCAGAGAAAAAATTAGATCATGACTAAAAGAGCAAAATTACTCATAAAATCGGCTACCTTGTTCTAGATCTTGTTGGTTAAACACTGTTAAACCTAATTGCATTAATTCATCATTTTCATCTATGATCGTTGTAGGACGAATTTTTTTACGGTCAAGTTTAAATCTTGTCGTAGCGGTCGATTCAGATGCTTTAACATCGTCATTATTATCTGCTGCAGTTGCAGAGGCAGACATATTTTGAATCACATCTTGTTCCATACTTATCTGACTCTAAACACGAAAAAGATAAGTCCTACTAAGTCCTTGTTAAGTAACTGAATTCTGATACATTCAATGGGCTAAAACTTTAAACAGAGCGTCATCTCACATTAGGATCTTTAATTTTTGAGAAACCATAAGCAAATAAGTTTCTGTCGAAAGAGTGATCATCTAAATATTTTCGTTTAGGGTCCACCATCTTGCTTGAAAACGTATGTAGAGTTTGAGAAAGATAAGCTCTAAAAAAGAATTCCAACGAGAAATTTCGCAAATATGATGTAAAACATTATTTTAATATTGAATGACAGAAGAAAACGGAAACGGAAAACGTTTTTTCTCATGGCGACAATCCTATTCGTTAAATATATCTGCAAATACAATAGTTTCTTACTGGTAGCGCTAGCAGTTATCAAACAAGAACCAAAGAAACAAAATATTTTTTGTTGTCATCGTTGCATTGATTTAAAATAGCTTGTCCTCGTGTATATTCTGGAATTATGGGGCTCGACAGGCTTGGGGTTCACTAGATTTTTGCTTTCTAAGCTCATCAGTTGCACTGACTGAGTAAATCCATCTAAAATGTCCCGTCATTACAGCAACTTGCTCCGCTTCATATCATTTAAAACCAATCCAGTTCTATAGAGCTCATCAAGTTACGTAAGAAACCGTCCTTCCTGACTTTTGTAAAATGTGGGATATTCTAGATGAACTTTCGAGAAAAAAATGATATTTTGTAGTTTGTTCTCACAATCGAGTTGGCAGATCCCGTGTCGTATATTTTTTTAAACGTTAAAAGCTACCGATACTCCTGTCTCAACTTTTTTTCCTCCGTACATCACTCGACATGCTTTTCGAAAGACCTCGTATTTCAGCTTCGGAGAAGCATATTTTCTCACGCGGTTCTTTCCGAAATTCATAGAACATCCTGATTTCCCTGTCAAAAGTTAATAAATTGTTGGTTTATTGCACAATTATATCATATGGGGTCCTCTCCTTATAATGTATCGCTACTATACCGTTGTTCACTCAAATTTGAGCGAAAACTGGTTCCGCTTAGAATCATAAAGTATATGAATATTTTAAATTTATTTGATGATCTCGGATTTTACTTCAAAGATACTCACTGTGTAGTTCTAGGCATTCAGCTTTCTATCTAATTTATAATTAAGGACTTGAATTTCTGAAAAACCAACCTGAGAATATCAAAAGATTCGAGGAGAATATCCCAATGCAATGTTTGAAAGTTTCGGATTTTCGGCACTGAATGATGGTGAAATTTAATTTATGCCATTTCTGAGAAACTAGCCGTTTGAGTCTCACAAAGTTCCGAAACATTTCGTCGCTTGCACTTGAGAGCATTGTGTTCTAATATAAGTTAGCTTATGATTCGATGCTATTTTCTCAAGTTTTGTTCGAATTCCTCTTTTTTTCAGAAATATGCAATTGGATATTAAGTCTAACGTTTTGTTATGTGCGCGTCACATACGGGGCCGCTTTTAAGAGACTAAGAAACTAAAGAGAACTTAATCATAGTGCGCTTTTTAATATCAAAAAAAATTCTACAGTGCCCTTTATGTTGCTGAAACAATGGTCGAAGAGGAAGAAGGTCTATCTGACATGGGTGCTAATGAGAGTTCTTTGTCATCTTTTGTGTCATTAACTTCTTCATCTTTCTCAGCATCTAATTTTGGTCTTATTTCAGCTAATAATTTATCAATATCATCCACGATATTTTCATTAATATATGGTTGAAGAGCCGATTTGATGTAAACATCATTATTACCATCATCTATTGGATCATCATACTGCTTTATTTCAATTCCTTCTTCTCTGGCTTCTTCAATTAAACATTGAATAATATCATCAGTTATCATTGGACCACGGTTATCATCGACATATCGCATTAAGGTATAATCAGTAAGATCATTAACATCAAACTCAGTTAGTTCATTATCTCGATTTGTTAATGTAAAACGGTCTTTCATTTCATCCACAAAACATTGTCCTGACAGCAAAGAACAAAATCAACTGCGATACTGGCATATGCAGAAAAGACTTCATTTATTTACCTAATAATTGTTGTAATTGTTCATCTGTTAAAACAGCTTCAATTTTATTTTCTTCATTCATTGGCTGGTGTAATTGTTCTAATCTTTCCTCAATTTCTTTTAATCTGTGTGAATGTTCTCGCTGTAGACGTGTCTCTTTTAAACTTGGTTCACCATAACGTGTCTCATCTTCATCATTCTCTAATAAAAGTTGATTGTAATCAATAAACTGTTGGTCGTTCTCATCGTTATTCGTTTTTCGCCTCAATTGATGATTTAACAATGGATTATAATACTCTTTTTCTAGTATATCGTCAATTTCCGTCAGTCTTTTTAATTCATCGATTGTTGGTTCATAACCGTTGCCACCAGGTTGAGATGGATGACATAGTGTAGTTGTAGTCTGAAAATGTAATGTGAAATAAATATGCCAGTATAATCTACAAGTTACCACTTACATCACCAGTGATGTTCTCAGAATCATCATTTTCTTCTAAAATTTCTTTCAGACGTTGTTTTTCGTCATCGGTTAAGGCATATGCACCACCCATTTCTTTTGCTAATAAAATATTTCGTTTAATAAAATCTTTTTCTGATCGTACTGTTTTATTTTTTTTTGTTTTTCGATTTTGTTGTTCTTTTGCTGATTTTTTCTCACCATCATCACCAACACTTCCATTTTGACTCGTTGTCGTTAACGAAGATTTTTTACTTTTTATTGATTCATCTAATGGGTCATTCATCGGTTGAGTTTTGAAAAATGGTTCACCGGACATTATATCTTCTTCCATTATATCACCACCATCTAATTTCAATAGTTCATCATCTAACGCAAGAAAACGTTTTAAATTCATTTGCGCAGTTTTTGATTCGGATAAATCAGATGTTGCTGATAAATTTTGATTAATGGCCACTGTCATTGATTGCATTTCATTTCGTAATCTATACACGAGAAAAATGTCTTATGTATACAAAGTGTACTTGTCCACATACTTTTTCATTAATGACATTGTTTCAATTTTAACTTGTCGTTCTTTCTCAATAGCTTCTTCAAGTGCTTTATCTAACCGTTTCATTTTCAAGTAAGCATCATCTAATTTCAGATCATTGGTATTGTCTGATGTGAGCAAAAAACCTAAAAAAAAGCATGCTCTTCATGTGAATCATTAGCAACTTTCGTTTAGATACTTTTATCATTGTCCAATGCATGATATTTTTGTTGGAGTTCTGTTATTGTTAAAACTCGTGAATGTTCTAGATAACAAAGTAAAACGAAGGATAATGACGATATATTCCATTTCATTTTTCTGTTGAATCACCTTTCTTTTGTCTACTGCGTTTGGGTTGATTTTCATCATTTGATAATGACGATTCTCTACCTTGTATTGGTGGTAAAATTGGGTATGCATTAAGACTGGCTGGTGTACTACGCTGAGATGAATAAGGATCTTTTCCTTTTTGTTCATTGAAGTCACTATTATTAGCTTTTATACTGTCAATGGATTTTTGACTATAATGATCGCTTGAGTCTGATATGTCGCTTAAATCTGCAAAAAAAAAAAAGTATTAGTTAAAAAGATTTTCCAAATTTTCTAATGAATAAAGTTGTACTTTTTTCTTCTAGTATTAGTCTTACTGTGACATTTTAACCAATTTCAATATATTTAATCATCTCAATTGAAAATCAGATAACTTATAAACATTTGAGTTATTGATGGGTAATAAACGAAGTAAAAGTAAGATTTTTACAGCAGCTTTATATAAAGTCATTTGAATATTTATTTATTCTGACGGTTCGAAAATTTATATTTTGATTTTCAAGGAGTGTATATTTTCATAATTGAATACCCATAATGCTTCCAGAGATAGCGATACCACTTCGCCACCCATATTTTCCTTGAAAATGAAAATATAAATTTTCGAAACGTCGAAATAAATAAATATTCAAATGACTTTATATAAAGCTGCTGTAAAAATCTTACTTTTACTTCAGGTAACTTATACTTCTATACTTGTACTCATTTGCATTAGCGATGGAGTCTGTTATGGCACATACCACACAAAGTGACACTTTTTTTCACTATTTATTATGACATATCGTATGATCGAGAAAGAAATCATATACATGTGTGTAATGACAGCTTACCCTCTGTTAAGTCGTTGTTGATAACAAATTGCTGATTGTCCATAATTTTAAAGAGAGACGATTTAGAATTCAAAAGTATGTAACAGTATTGTGTTTACAGTTAACGTCTCGAGGTAAGTACGCTGCATTAATTAGAATAAAGGCGCCACGCGAATTTTACTAAACTTTGGAAGAGAACACATTATTGTATGATTATACACACTTTCGACGTAATACTCAAAAAATGACAAGAAAAGTCTCTGACGAACTGAAATTGTGTCAGATAAAGACGTACAGTTAAACTGCGTACAAATTACTTAACGGGAAAGAATAATAATAAACATCAATGTCAAGCAAGTATCTGAACAGAATAAAAAAAAGATAAATCGAGTTAAAATAATTTTATTTGACCAGAAAAAGAAATCGGTCTTTTTCCATGTTTTCCAAACTGTTATTCTTTCATTCAGCCATTATTCACTATAGCAACAACCCATAGTTAACGATTGCACTGGCGTCCTCTTTCGTCATTCTTATGGAATTTTTTGATTTAGAATAGAAAAATTGGATATCTACTCTCCACACTTTTATATAAAGACGTACGTTTAAATATACTATAATTAGCAATTAATAATGGATACAATTTTCGTATTTTAAAAACATTTCATGTTTTCTTTGTTATATTATAAATTCGATGAGTCAAGTCACTGTGGAAGCTTACACTCACTATTCTGGGTTATACAACTACAGAGGTCGGTATAATTTAATCTGGTGGCTTTCTCTTCTCAGCCTGATGGGTGCCCTCATAGTAATCATAACAAAGCACCTATAAGTTCCATCTATCTATCATCACTAGTGCCAACCTGAATTCGCATTGACACTAGCGATGATGGATGCACTTTATAATTGCCTTCGTTTGTCTGCCTATCGATATTCGAGCAATCAAAAATTGGCAAAAAATTATCTCCTAGGATATATCATATGTATCTATCACATTTTCAGACAAACAAATATAATAATAAACACTGCATATTTATTAATTTATCTTTGTATTGCTTGCTTTGCGATCCGGAAGTCTATTTTCTGTCAGTCAAACAAACAAATACTGAATGCAAAATAGTGGCGGCGCCAGAGCAGGGCTAGGATGGGCTGAGCCTAATCACCCAAAAATTTGAAAACAGGGTATTCACTAGCAATAGTCACGTAAAAATTCTGAACGGATTTTTGAAAAATTATGGGCTGAGCCCAGGCACCCGAAAAATCCTGGTGCCGCCACTACTGCAAAAATCTTTTAAAATAGTGGGAAAAGTAGTATTGAGTAGTTTCTCTTACAAAAAAAGTAAAAAATTTCACGGTGATATTCAGAGGTGCATAATCTTCCTCGTGCGCACCCGCGCGGGTGGGGAAATTTTTTGAAAAGTTGTTCTACTGGGGGAAATTTTTGAAATTTTCGTGGATGAGGAGATTTTTTATTTTTTGGAAGATTCTGCACCTCTGGTGATATTCGATAGCAGAAATACGAAAGTAAAACAAATTATCAACAAAGTTCAATATTGTTAAATGATGAAACAGGTAAGCACTAGAGCTCCTAATCAGACCAATTTTGGATTGCTAGGCCGGTCCAAAAAGAGTCGAAGTTCGCCCTACCCCATCATGCTAATCAGTTGCATGGCCAGGTCTGTCCGGCTCGAATCCCGCTACAATGGTTTTTAGACTAAATTCAACTTTACTATAGCAAAAACGCAGAAAAAGCTTTGCTAAAGATTGGTTCAGCAGCAATATTAGTTAATTAAGGAGATTCATTCATGTAGATTTCGCTCAAACTTTGTCAGTTTGTAGAGGATACCTTAAAAGATATATCTGAAACTTTTAGGTCTTACGAACATTGTGCGACTGAGTTATTCAAATTTTAAAAGTTTTCGAGTAATTTTAGCCTTTTCTTAAAAATTTAATAAAATTTCTAAACTTCAATTTTGAAGCTCATTTTTTATGTTGTTCGATAGAGCAGATTGAGATGTATACGTGCAAAAGCTTTCATCATTATTGGACAATATTTTGCAGAGAAATTTGAAAATCACTTGGAAAATGATGTTTTCGCGCAAAAAGTAGGTTTTTTGAGGTTTTATAGGCACTTTCTAGTCAGGAGGGCATTTTTGAGCAATAGTGTAGGGACAAAAAATTTCCCCCGACGACCGTCGAAGCAAACAGGCAGATTCTGCAGCTCTGGCTACGACACCTGGTCAAACATAGTCCTAAAAATAAATGTTTTGCTAAGTGAGATGAAAGTGTCGAAGAGACATAAAAATCACGAAATATAGATAATCTGACGTGCTGGAACAGATGGCAACATCAGAAATTGAAATAGAAAAAATCTTTTATGCTCGGTTTTTCCGAGATCCAGTTTTCGAAAGCGGTGTGAGCCTTGAACAAAATTTCGCATTTTGGAAGAAAAGTATAGGAAGAACAGTTGGTCAGGATCGATTTGTGGGATGAGCGAGTGAAGTTCTAAAACTCGATTTTTAAATTAAGTTTCACAAAAATTTGTATTTTTAGGAATTTCAAAAATTCCGTGTAAAATCCGATCCTGAATAACTTTGTTTTCACACTTTTCTTTCAAAATGCCTTTTTTGTAGATAACCTCTCGATGTGCTCTATCGAACAGCAACAGATTCAGGATTTTGTGTCGAAAAATGAAATTTTTATCAAAATTTTAAAAATGGAGCAAAAAAGCGAAACTTAAGTTAAAAATGTTTTTTCTCACAAACTACAGGCCCCGAAAAAAATTTCGAGATATATAATTCAAAGTATTCTCTACAAACTGGTGGAAAAAGTCTAGTGGGTAGACCCCTCCTTAAGAAAGTAGAAGTATGTTTTTGACAACAGAATTTACTAGATAATAGAAACATGTACTGTTACTAGGAAATAGCCAGATTTAACTGAAAATATGAAGAAAATTTTTAAAATTTCTCGCATCGGGCTGGTCCGAAAAAAACGTTGACCCGACCGGCCTGGAAACTTTTCTGGCACGGCCCGTGAGAAAAAAACTAGCCGACCTGACCCGAGACGAATCGATCCCTGACCAAACGGACCAATAGGAGCTCTGGTAAGCATATATTCAGCAAGTACTCACTCTTCAACTACGTAGTGATTTTTCTAATTTAAAATCTTAAGGGTCTCCTTCTCTTTTTTGACCCTCTTGGAAACCGGGCAAGCCGATGTCGGGTCGAGACGACATTTATATCGGAGATAGGACATCGAAAATAGAAAATCGATTTATTCTTGCCCAGAATTTTCTAACGTGCTCTTCTATAGGTTTTCTAGAAAACTCCAGTTTTCATCGGGTTGCAGTACGACCTCTCGAAAAAATGGTCCGATCGAGCTCAAAAATTTACCACAGGTACTTTAGACCCTATCTCAAGATGAAAATTTTTCTTTTCGAAAAATATGCTTTCTTTCTCGAGACATTCAAAAAATACTAAAAATCCTGTGTAAAAAACCGGTTTTATATTTTAAAAACCATCTCACGCCGAAAGTTGGAATCGACAATGCTTAAGAAAAATTTACATTCTGTGATAGGGTCTAAAGTATCTGGGGTAAAAGTTTGAGCTTGATCGAACCATTTTTGGAGGGATCGTAATGTGACCCGATTGAAGGAAAAAACACAGTGAGAAAAACACATAGTCTACATAGGGCTCTGCTTTTTAGGGCATTTGCGGTGATGCGTATATCTGCGTATATCTCCACGAAAGCTCATCAGCAAAATCTGGAAGACGTCTCATTTTGAAGAGCACACTCCCTTCTGTCGTGCTAAGTGTAAGAAAAAATTTTGAATATATAGGGGTGGAGAGAAAAATTTACGAACCTAAAAAATTGAGATTTTCGACGCTCTGAAGGAAAAACTTAAAAACTGCATAATTTTTACAAGGAAGGTCATGAAGAAGAGCTGGGAGTGATCTCATTTTATAGCACACTCTATATTAGACTATGTTCAGCTCAAAATGAAACTTTTCTGGAAAAGAGGGGCAGATAACCTTAATTTTCTCTTCTGTTTTCTTTGATCCTTTTAGTCTTTCTCTATGTGTAAGTGTGTCAGTATGTCTGTCTGTAATATGTTCTTTTAACTAATATTATTTGTCTCTATAAAAATAGTAAGAATCGTATGCAAACAATAATCATTGATTTTTTTATTGAAAAACATCGAAGCTTTCGATCATATTTCTGTAATTATCGTCGCTGTTGTTGCTGTTATGTCTCCAAAAATAAATGAATCATCATCTGTCTTTCCTAAATTTTTTTGCAAGTGAGCAAAGATTATTTTAGATGTCTACTCAGTGAATTGTAGAAATGTAAAAAAGAAAGCATTTAAACAACAACAAAAAGAAAAAACGATCTAGTACAAGCATACGAAGACAACAAGAAGAGCAAAAACGTTAACAATTATTTCATGAAACATATTAGTAACAAATACACAAAAAACAACAAAAAAAATTAAACTAATGAAAAATTAAAATGATGTGCTGAGGTATGTCGATTCATTTTTTATAACGATAAGACATAATTGGAAAGTACCCTACAACATTTTTTCCACGATAATTTGTCTAGAATAGAACAGAAAACTGCAAATAGTTCTCTTCTATGAAAAATCAAAATATCATTTACCTTTCCAATTATGGATGATGAATTGCCAGTATTTGCTGAATAATTTGAAAATGCAGATGCCCCGGAGATACGAGGTAAAAATGTTGATTGTCCAGTTTTTGTAAAAGAATTTAAAGCTGGAGACAAAGAACTACCATTTATGTATTGATTATGATGGTGATAGGATAATTTATGTTTTTTATCGTTAAATTGTTGATGCAGTGAAGGTTTTTTAACGTTGGATTGTTGTACTCTTGTTTCAATTAAGGATTGAGCTTTTGCTGGTGGATGTATTAGCTAAAACAATGGATCAATAGATTATTCGTTATATTAAAGTAATGTTTTATGAACTGTTTTATAATTATGGCCCAGTCGAAACTCATATCACTGCCATATATTAACTTCTATGCGACTCGTAATGAAATATTTTCATTGATTTCAAGAATCCTGTCCGTTTTATTGAATCTTTGGCAAATATAAAAATGTGACTACCTACTTTGGAAAAATCTGGTTTTAGTATGTGTGTTGATATTGATTGTACGTGTGATCGATGAGAATTATCTTCTTCAATACTCGACGTTCGACTACTACTTGAATCGGATCTTGTATAATTATCTTCACTCGTTTTTGTTACACGAATATTTCGGCCCCATGAATAAGTACTTTCATTATGTGACCGTTCTTCAAGGTTCCTAAAAGCATAAAAAGTGTGAGTGAAATCGGAACAATCCAACGTATCTTCTTTTACTGCTTTAATGAATCGAAATAGGAATGGTGTAGTGCATGTGCAGCTGATATTCTGTTATCCGGATCATATGTACATAACTGACTAATTAAATCTATTGTTTCCGGAGAACAATGAGTTAGATGTCGAGCGGTACCCACTCCACGACGTAATGGAAAATTAAAATCAACTGCCGTATTTCGACTAAAATACGAAGAATATATATAGATATATCATTATAAAATGAGAAAATAGAGCTAAACATACTGTTGAAATTTTTCTAATACAGCAGGTGATGGTGTGCCAAGTACTTCATGGATTTTATTTATTTGGTCTATCTCATTACTACCAGGAAAAAGTGGCCTCAATCTACAAGAAAGAAGAATTTATTTAATATAATTTACAAAGGTTTATCATCCATCTACCACCTACGTTATAATTTCAAACATCACACATCCACAGCTCCAAATATCCATTGGATTTTGATAATATCCATCTGTTAACAAACATTCAGGAGATCTATACCATCTTGTTGAACTACACAAAAAAGAAAAAAATATTGTTCTAAAGGAAAACATCGATACATATTTTCTACATACATATACTCTGTGAAGGGCTGTTTTGATCCAATTTGTCGACATGAACCAAAATCTGCTAATTTAAGCGTCTCTTCCTAAAATCAGAATAAATATGAGTGATACACATTACTGAAGAAAATAATTCTCTCACTTTAATTAAAATATTTTCTGGTTTAACATCACGATGAAAATATCCGTGTCTAAAGATGAAAAGTTAGTCTCACGAACATATATCGACGAATTAACATGTGAGATAACTCCTACTTATGTATATATTCTAGAGCTTTCAATAGCTGATACATAAATTTACAGACTGTTTCACTGGACAATGATCTCTGACGTCCTATAGTAGAATAAGTTAAAAATTGGAAGAAATGAATAATTTTTGTTAAATACCTCTAATATATTCATAAAGATTCATGGTCATTAGCTCAAAAATAAGACATAAACATCCAGATCTTTTATCACTAAAAAATGAAAAAAAAGAGACGAAAATGTATTAAGATATTTTATATACTAAAAGTTATAATTCTTACAAAATAATTTCACGTAAAAAAATAATATTTGGATGTCCATTGAGTTGTCTTAAAACACGAATTTCTCGAATTTGTTGAATTTCTTCCATACTAAAACATCATTGTCTAAAACTTTATATAAAACAGAAATAGATTATATCGATCTCTAACATACCTCTTGTAAAGTTGTTTCATTTTTTTACATGCCCAAAATGTTCCATCGCTAACATTTTGACATTTCAATACTTCGGAAAACGTTCCTTCTCCCTTTTTACCAAGTATTCGATATTCTAAAAGAGAAAAAGAGGATATGCTTTCGTTTTTTCTTCAGTTTTGTTCAAAGTTCACTTACTTTCCATTTCGCTAATGTTTTACGACAACTTTAAAGAATTGAATTATTCAGAGTAACGAGAAATGTACAAATTAAAAAGACATGGATATTTTTTACTTCAATTTGCAAATGAGTGTTAAAAACGGTGACATAAATGCTGATAACTACTGAGCATGACTAAGAAATGATTGCAATTATTGAGTGTACTGAAGATGTAAGGTGACAATAGAATTAACAAAAAGTTGCAAACATGATCTGAAAACAAAACATGCAGAAAATTGCTTTTAAAGTCATGGATAAAATTCATGTAATTCAAATGATAAACAAGTTATTAAGATGACTAACTCGTCACGTATTTGCATGAATACAAAATTAAAATTCAGCAAAAAAAAATTTCTCTTGGTAAAAAACAGTTTAACATCTTAGATGAACATTAAAAATGCTCTTAATCTTCAATATATGTAAACAAGTTTCATTGTTCTTTTCGTCTATAATATTTTCATTGTTAATGTTTTGTATAAGCACGATAATAAATTTTTTTACTTTCAATCAGACGCAAAAACATGTTCATTTTCTCTTTTTACATGGAGACTTCTAAGTAATAATGCAGAGATACCTTTATAATTTTAAACACGCAATATAAGTATTAGAAGCATAATCAGACTCATAGTAAATCTATTATATAGTTTAACTTCTAGCTGGTATTATACAAAGACTAATATGATGAAGTTGATCGGAGACTATCATGAAGGTCCATGATCTTCAAAATATGACACTTGACTTATTAGCACCATTTAATATACAAAATTTTTAGTGATTTTAAATTACTTAAAATTTTATTTTCTATTGATTAAAATCCAGTGTTGCTAAACATTTTTTTATTTCTAACTCACATGATAGAGAACAAATTTCAAATTTTTTATTTCAATCTATGTAATTTACACAGTCATGTTTTTTGCTAATTCTAAACGCAAACACTTTATCCTAGTATAGCTTAACATCTGAAACCTGACGAAAAGTCAGTTGGTATTAAAAATATCGGAATTTATGTAACTTAATATTTACTACTCGTCATGTTAGATAGAAAAACTATTTGTTCAAATAGTACGGATTTTTAGAGGATCCCCATAAGCAGAAAACCATTAGTTTTGTATTCTATGATGTCAAACATATTGAGAAATAGTTTTTTCTAAAATTTCGATTGAATCGATCGTATAATGATTGGGATATAAGTACCGATATTCTTTCCAGAAATGAAGTTGAAACTTGACGCAAAGTGACGAGAATGATAGAAATTTACAGTTTAAAAATTTCACATGGCCAATCGAACTGAATTTGTCTTATCGAAAAATAAGTTTCAATATGTTGTCTACACATCAATCCAAGATACTTAATTGGCTGCCAGTTTTACTAACTGTTTGATGTATCTTAGAGTAATATGCTGCAGAATATTGAGGAGATAAAATTGTGATTGCAGATTTTAGTGTTCGATGTAAATACCTGCAATATAATGTTAAATAAATCTCATAAAGAGTAAATCGCTCTATCTAACTGTCGATTTGAAAAAAATATTTTTTTTCTGTACTTTTCAAACTGAGGCAATCTACTTCTTTTATTCATAAACCATGCATTTTTTCCTTCACTCAGCTCTTTAAAAATACATGTTTTAATTATTTTATGAAAAAAGAAGAGAAAAAAACAGAAACAATATCATAAAAGTATTGAGGGAAGAAAAGCTCCATTAAAATGAAAAACATTAAAGCCAAAAAAATGTTCCATTGCGGTACTGTACGCAATGTTTTTGTGATTAAAATGCGTTTTTCTAAAAGTATATAAGGAGCATAAGTATAACTGGTAAAAGCTTTAGATGTCGCTATTATCTCTAATTTCAAATGCTTCTTTCTAATAAGAATCTGTTCATGAACAGAAGTTTACTTCTACGACGCAAATGCTTGATGGGATTTACAGGTATTCATCTGTTCAAGTTCGCAAAGTACAACAGTTGAACATTGTATTATACTCAGTCTTATAAACGAAGTATAATCGTGGATCTTATATCTTGCTCTCTCTTTCTCTCTACTTCTATTGTTGCAATAAATAATTCTAACTTAACGACGTTCTGCTGAAAAAATGCATGTGTTTGGTGCTTCTTTTTCTCAAAAGTTCTATGTGTGAGCTCAAATCGCGATCTATGTTGCATCCGACGAAGGACAGAAACTTTCTTAATGTAGTGGCTTTTCTGCAGGTTTGTAATTATGTTTCTACAGTATTTAGAGATGTTTAAGTGTTCACAGTTAGCAACAGTGATCGGAAAGTTTTTATTTTCTTGATAAAAAAAGTCAGAATTATCAAGTATTATCGGGTCTGAATGTTTAATAAATAAATCGTTCATCTTTGATGACATGCTTTCTTTTGTTTCTATAACAACATCCTATAATCGTTCTGTAATGGGAAAAGCGTTCGTGATTTATTTTATCGAGAAAGAGGGTGTTACCAAGATAAGATCTCTCTCATGGCAGAACAGTCAATTTGTATAGGAGAAAGACACTTTCACCTGATTATCGCTAAAATGTGATAATGATCTTTCATAAAAAAGGTACAGGTTTCATAGAAGTAAATAAGTTCTTCTCTCCGGTTGGGTCAGAAAATCCTACTTCTCGCGTTTTGCACGAGAGTAACAGCTTCTCTGAATGAGAAAACAGACTCGGTGGCAGATGTTCTGTACTTTGTGGGAAGAATAAACAACAAATTAAAGATAAGTCAGTAGTATAGTACGGGGTCAGTAGCGAATCCAGACCAGTGGATATTCTGACCTTTACTAAAAATTGGAAGGCTGGAGGGATGGAAGACAATTGATCGAAGATATTTTCAACCAATCCTACATTTTGCCTGCGTTCCATTCCATTCTCTTCCAGTTTTTAGTAAAGGGCGATATTTTTCTTTCTTCCTATGTGAATACACGCGTTGTACTTCGTGCGTTCACCTGCTTGACAACATGTATATAATATAGACAGAACGAAAAACAGCACGTACCCTCGATCTGCTACCGTACTGTGCTACACATTTACTAATTGCAAAAGGACAACAAAAACAAGCTTTTGTTTGATTGAAAAAAAAGACAGTTTGTAGTGACATAGTGGTGTCTATCGTTTTTTGAATACAGGTGGTAAACTTACAGGTGGTAAACTTTTGTGGGTGTGATATAATGACCAGTAAAGACATCGATGTACACTTGAAATGCAAAATGATTTTATTATTTCAATTTTAATTTTTGTTTACTTTAGAAGAAGCAACCGTTTACTAATTTAAATGTCTTCTTATTTGTTAACAGCCGTAATGGTGTTAGTATTCGACCGAACTCGTACCTTGATAGTGCTTTTAGTTAGGTTTTTATATTGGAATATTTATATAGTACTGACCTCAGCTGTACAGACTGATTCAAAAGAGACATCTCGGTAGAGAGAAGATCAATACAAATCAAACTGTCTTCAAATAAGACGGAAGAAAAAAACTTCGACCAATACAGGAGTAACAGGCCTCGCAGCAGTCCTGATTTCCTAATTTTTTCCTGATATTTTTAAGTCGTCCTGATTTTGGCAAAAAATCCTGATTTTCCTGATTTTTGTTGCTTTTCGAAACTAGGTCATTTCCCTTGAAAATTCCAGTTTAGTCTAGGTAGAGGCGTTTCAGAAATTCCATCTTGAATCGATGATAACACTGGTTTTTTAATGACCGCGTTGCTTGTCTTGTTTGTAGAGTAGCTATTGTTCTTTATGAACTAAAATTGTTGGTGAATATATGGGAAAAAGTTATTTTTTTAATACAAGATTAGATGCCATTATCGTACAAGGAAAAAGAATCATCAAACAGAAGTTAGGGCTACAAGCTGATAGTCCGCTGAACCATCAACTCTCCTTGTTGAATGGCTATCAACGAATCGCAGTAGATTCTCATATATACACTTTTACGATTTTTTCGTATATACACATTCATTTCTCGTTTGTTCATTGTTCTTTTTATTTATCGATATTTACCGCATACATTGTCAGAATTTTTGCGATCGAACCACTGGCCCATTATGACTTTCTTAATAGCTTAACTTTGCATATTGATCTGCTGTAAGTCACATGAAATTGTTGAGGGTGTAGATGTACGTCTTTCGGTAAACCTCTGTCAATCCTGATTTTCGACGAAAATCCTGATTTCCTGATAAAATTCCTGATTTCTTTTGCTGGAAATCCTGTCCTGATCCTGATTTCTTATGAAGGCCGCTGCGAGGCGTGGAGTAAGACGGATAGAATAAAGCGGATTTTTTTAGAGTGTGTACCCAGGTGAATGGCGTCTTATAACATCCTATAAGATCTGATGATTTCTTATGCAATTTTGCTACAAGATCTTTTGGCAACCTTGTAAGATCTTATCTCAAGGTCATGTATGATCTTGTAGAATTTTGTAATTTCTTGTCGTAAGATCTTACAAGATCAGCTTAGAAGAAATGTTAAATCTTACAAAATCTTGCAACAAGAAATCATGCAAGATCTTGTCAGTAAGAGCGTATACTCATTAATTAAGTTCTTATTATGGAAATGCGAAAACATTCAACACAATCCTTAAAAAAATTTCTTTTTTGAACAACGGATGTCGCTGCATTAGCGCAAAATCGACTTTTTATACGGAGAACAGAAAAGGTTCAAATTTTTTTCTGAACAGCTTATTATATGAATCGATGGTCAGCAAAGTATCTCTTGATTCAAATCACTTTACACATTTTGGCGCGAATAGTAGCGCGTTTTAAGTGGCGTCACTATTTGCGCCAAAATGTGAAAAGTGATTTGAATCAAGAGATACTTTGCTGACCGTCGATTCATATAATAAGCTGTTCAGAAAAAAATTTGAACCTTTTCTGTTCTCCGTATAAAAAGTCGATTTTACGCTAATGGTTTTGTTGATATATCTTCATAACCAAGAGTCTTGAGAACTCTGACACGTCTCATCTTGTTAAGCCCGTTTTTGATCACAAAATGAGAC